CGACTCTTTTTGTGCTCTCTGACGACATCCGCACCCAATTTTTTTTTTTTTTTGCTATCCATGTAGTAGGTTAACTATACTTGTTCTATCTCATTTTAAGGTTTAATTCTGTCTTTCCTCAATTCTTTCTCATCCTTTCTATCTCTATATATACCTTGCTAATTTTGCATCTTTGTCCATCGCTAAATTTGCTAAGTCTGCTTCATTAGAATAGCTAGCATTGCAAATCTCAACATTTTCATGCATGCTTGCCTTCTTCTCTTCATTTGAGGGGCAAAACAGAAGGAGTTTTCCAACTTTGCTATAGCTGATCTCTGCTACATTCTAGCTAGGGTGCCACCTTGGATCGTTTGATCATCAAGCCTATATATTGCAAGGTGTGATTCGGTTGCATTTTTATTTTCTTGGGTCATCATATTAATTCCTACGGTTTTCATTTGCATTTCTATCTCAAGTCTCTAATTTTTTGTGCTCTTGTCACTTTCTAATCTAATCTTCATTTCTCACTTAACTTCTTAAAGTTTATAAAGAGACCTCCGTATAACCCTAGCTAGTTTCTTACACTTCTCTTACTAATTTACTCCACTGATTATAAAGATACCTTTTTTCCCCTAAGCGGTCTAACACCACTTTAATTAATTACTATTAACAATAATGGTCTTAGACCGTGACACTCCGATATTAAGTCTTCATGCAACAACTTGTGTAATCCCTTTGATGGGTTGTCCAATTTTTTGTAACCACAAAGTCTAATGCATTCAAATTTTGGAATTATTTGACTGCAATTTATACCACCCAAAAAAAAAATGTGGGGATCCAATCCACCATGCGGGTTCTATGGTGGACTCAAGAAATGTCTACATTGTGATTGATTAAAGAATTTCAAATGATATGCTCCCAAGTATATATGGAATTATATTGTGTTTATTATTAAACCAGTTAACAAATTAACAATTTTTTGCACGTGATAAAATTTAGTTAAAGGTGAATTATCTAATCTGCCTATCACTTCTTGTTGGCCCCTTAACCACTCCATCTATCCATCTTGCACCTTTCAACACTTCATATTGACTAGGACAAAAGTGATGATCATAGACCCCTTTTGACAAAAAAACAAAAATTAAAAATTCCATCAATCATTAAATTTTGATCAATCCTCAAAAAAATTTTTTGATCCATATATATATATATATATATATATATATATCCAATAATAAATTTGTAGGCGTATCTAATGGGTTAAAGACTATATAGCATGTTAATTAACTTTCATTTTCTTGCTTATCTTTCAAATTAGATGTTGATCTTTTGTTGTAGGACATAATTCTCAATTTCTCATTTCTTTTTGATGCCACGACCTTCAAAGGGACTCTACATGAAGTTACCGGTGTAGGTTATTCTTTTTTTTACTCATGAACATGATATTGAAATATACTACACAATGAGTAGCCCTTTTCTTTCTTATAATCCCACACCTCGCCTATTCCAAAATTCGAACTCTCGAAATCTCCCGCAAGAAGTATGAAACTTTGTGACTAGTTCAGTTCTGGTTTTTCTGGCTTTGTCCTCTTTCTATGTTTGGTTGTAATGGCTGTGTCTACTTATCTTCTTCCATATTCAATAAAATCTTTCTGAAAAAGCCTGAAACTTCAACTACTGGGGTGTCCCCTTGGAGACACTGGTTTAGGTTACTAAATAGTCAAACGATTTAAGTCTGTTTCGACAATACTCCTTAAAGATTGATTGTCATCCCTAAAAATTTATTGTTATCTCCAAAAAGGAAAAGTTAACGTGAATTTAGCAAACGAAAAAGACTCTTTAGGAGCCTCCACCAAATTGTAACATCTTCTAATATTTTGACCTCTACAAATTATCCTTTATTCCAAGAGTAAGCTTGTCTTTACCATCATCAATTTCTTGGAATAACTTCTTCCAGCACACATCATGCCCTACTTTTTGTTTGCTTGGCATCCATCAATATATATTCTCATCCTCATCATTCACTCAAAGCTATCAAAGTATAATCAAGTTAACTGTTTCTTTGTGTTTAATTTGAGTATGTATAAGATGCAAACATATACAAATTAAACATAAGAAATTAATTCAATATATTTTAAACTATAGTGCTAACAAATAATTGTTATTATTTTTATTTTGTTTAGGAAATTTTAAGGAAGAGAAGGAGCGGCAATTGTCGTCCCTTGGTAATAATATGATCCCACCTTATTTTTGTTTGAAATGGATTATTATTGACCAAAAGAGATACTAGACCAAGTCAACCAAGAATTAATGTAAGTATACACTACATGCTTCTGTTATAAAATTCGTTTTGCAACTTCACGTGGCAGACAAGGCCTTCCTAGTCGGCAAAAGTGCCATGTTTTTTCCTCATGCTGCCATTTTTCCATGACCCAATTGCTAAGATTTTCCACAAGAAAATGATATCATTACTTTCATAAATGTGATGATCATAAAATTCCTCCCCATTACTTACGTTATTCCATTTCCATCACCTATTGATGGCTTGCAAGTGCTCATATCATTAATCATCTTTCCCTTCTCCAAATCGACTATATAAACCAGCCAAACCAAACCAAAATCCCCTGCCCCAACTCCATCATAGTGACTTCCCCAATTCATATGCTTTCAAGATTTACCCTCATCATAATCATGGTGATTGCCTTCTCTATCCATCTTTTTTTTATCTGTGGTCGTTTTTTTCTTTAATTATGTTCGGCAAAGAGATCGTGCACCAACTACTGACTCAAATGCTCGAGTTAGTTGATATAACTATATATTTATTAATCGGTCTCTGTTTATTTCTTTTTTTCACATTGGAAACATTACAATTAAAGGGGAGGGGGAAGGGAGGACAAGGATTCAAACCTCTACCCTCCGGGTGAACTTTTGAGGCCTTGGTCATTAAGTCAAAGCTTCAAGTTCATTAACCGGTCTCTTAATTGATTTTCCTTTGATTATATATTATATATAATTTTAACTGTTCAATCTACTAATTAATTACTTTGCAATAGGAACAACATTGGGTTGCAGCAATGGTGAAATGGGTGCGTGAGATAGTTCTACTTTTCTTCTTCGCAATATTGTCTAAGGCAATGGGGACCAAGCCCTTTGGGAGAATGAGCGGACCAATTGATCAGAGTTCGAAAGACTGCTTGAGCTGGCGGCTGGCGGTGGAGGCCAACAACTTGCGAGGGTGGCGCACCGTCCCGACTCATTGCCTACGCTACATTGAAACCTACATGATTGGAGGGCAATACGAGCAGGACATCAACTACGTCGTGGAACAAATAGAGAGTTACATTAGTGATGTTGTCGTGTCTGAAGATGGCATGGATGCTTGGATCCTTGATGTCGACGACACTTGCCTTTCAAATCTCTTTTTCTACAAGGGAAAGAAATATGGGTACTAATTAATTATATTTGTTCATAGATTACCTTAATTGATTTCCATTGATCCATCCGGCAGCAAATTTGACTAATAATTTCAAGTTTGTTCGATCATATATGTAGGTGTGACCCTTATGATCCCTTAGGTTTCAAGGCATGGGCAATGAAAGGAGGGTGTCCGGCGATTCCTGCTATACTTGGGCTGTTTACGAAGCTGGTTGAGAGGGGATTTAAGGTGTTTTTGGTCACTGGGAGAGACGATGAAACTTTAGGTCCACCCACTATTGCCAATTTGCATAACCAAGGATTCATAGGCTATGAAAGGGTCATTTTTAGGTAAGATAGATATACACGCATCCAACTTTGATTCATATAATTTCTATCTGGGTTATAATTAGTTTCTTGGAAGTTATATCAAATTCTTGCTTCGAAGAAATTTCCAAGCAGCTTGCTGATGGATAAGCACAAACAAACTCAACTTTAAACTTTGAAACTTAATTAGGATCACATGAATTTTTTTTTCGGTGAATAGGAAATTTGAATTTGAATCATCATCAAATGACAAAATCGCATAAGATTTAATTAATTATAAAGTGGGACTGACCCATCACGTTATCAATGGGACCAACCACTAATATCATGGCAACTGATAGATTTTTCTAAAACCCTTCTAATTTGAGGAACAAACCCTTTACATATGGTTTATTTTTTATTTTTTTTTATAGAAACATATGGTTTATTTTTAAATTAGGCTAAACTTTGGATTAAAATTGTGTTCTAAATTTTAGTAGTTAGATTTGATGTGGTACAATTTTAGTGATTGCCATTAAATTTCTCCATAAGACTTTAGGTTCGGTTGGAAAATTGAAGCCAATCATTGGCTTTAGTGGTGGAATTTTGCGATTTAGTCAACATCCATGCAAGTTAATTAGTTCCAAATTCTCTTTCAATCACGCAACTTGACATATATATAGTGGCCTCCTCTCCCTGTCCAGTTCTTTGAAATCGGCGCGGAATGAGTCAATATTCATAGTTTTTAGCCAAGTAAATCTACATTGATTTAACTTTGATGACAATTTAACGCGCATTGACTTGATATGAAATGTTGCAATTTTCTGTGGAATGTCAATATCATGGAGATTTAAAGGAAGGAACATATATGTTGAAGTTGGCTTCTTTTTTTATTTATTTATTTTTTAAATTAACTACAGGACCCAAGCTTTCAAAGGGAAAAGTGCCGTGATTTTCAAGTCAGAAATCCGAAAGCAATTAATGGACGAAGGGTACAGGATATGGGGGAATGTTGGGGACCAATGGACTGACTTGCAAGGAGAATGTTTGGGCAACCGAACTTTCAAACTCCCTAATCCTATGTATTGTGTTCCTTAAAATAATAGAAAAATTATTATGTAAAAAGGGGGAAATGTAAAATATATAGTACTAGTATTGGAATGCCGTATCAGGCTCTGCAAATGAAGGCATATAAGAGACTTGTCAATGGCATTCTTTGCATGCATCAATGCATCAATATATAATATGGGGTTTTTTTTTTTTCTTTTTGGTGAAACAGGTACTTGAATAAATAAATAACATTAAGTGTTTACAAGTCTGGGAAGAGAAATTCCCGCAGTATCAGCCATAAGCAAATCAAAAACAAAGTAAGGAATAACATCAAAAACAGAAAAAGACATTTGTTGCACTCTTCCATTGTTGGCTAATGCATCAGCAACCATATTTCCCTCTCTAAAGCAGTGTGAGAGGTTGAGACATGGGAATCTTTGCATAAGCATCCTGCAATCATAAATAATGTTGCCCAAAGGATGAACTGATATGTCAGCATTATTAATAAGAGTTATGACATTCAAAGCATCAACATTGACTTCAAGTTTTTGGATTCCTTTTGAATGGGCTAGAATCAACCCATCCCTTAGACCCCAAAATTCAGCTTGCAAACTAGAAGTGTAGCCAATTTTCCTTGAGTAACCTGCCACCCATTGGCCCTGATCATCCCTTATAGCTCCTCCAGATCCAGCAATTCCAGGATTACCTTCAACAGATCCATCAGAGTTCAACTTAAACCAACCTTGTAAAGGTGGGATCCAAGAGACAAGAATCTCATTTCTCTTAATGGCAGTCGTGTTGTTAAACGCCAGATGAAAGAATTCAATGGAAAGATTAACAGCTTGTGTTTTGACAGTAAAAGGAAGAGCAACTTTTCCTAGGAAAGTCCTAGAATTTCTAGCTTTCCAAATGGCCCAACAGGAGTAAGCAAACAAAGTAGGCCAAGGAGTGTTTCTGAAAGACATGGAGGAAGAAAGATTGAGATCAATCCAATCTTTAATGGAAAGGGAATCAAAGAAATTGTCAGGCAATGAAAAAGATTGCCAGACTTCAGTAGCAAAAGTGCAATCACGCAGAACATGCAAACAGTCTTCCTCAGAATCAATGCACAAGTCACAAGAAAAATTATCTGAGATTTGTCTATTGTGCAGCAAAGAATTGGTAGTGAGCCTGTTATGAGCAGAAAGCCAAAGGAAATGTCTAATTCTATTATTGCAAGGGCTTTTCCACAACTTTTTCCAAAAAGGATCAAAAATGAAATCATCATTTGCAGCCAAAATGTAAGCAGTATCAAGAGAAAATTCCCCATTGGAGGACAAGTTCCAAGTGAAAGTGTCCTCTCTAGGGTTTTGTAAGCAGTAAGGGATAGCATGGATTTTATCAATAATGAAATCTGGAAGCACAAAGGAAACACAATCAAAATTCCAAGTTCCATCCAAATTCACACAACTACTAACCTTAATGTTCTCTTCATTCCTATTGAAAGGACCATGGATAATCTCTCTAAGAGGCACAACACCAACCCAAGTATCCAACCAAAAACTTATGTTAATACCAGAGTTAATGACTTTTTTGCAGCCCCTCCTAAAAACATCTTTCCCTTTCCTAATGCTCAACCACGTGTTAGAATTGTTGCTTTTCTTGTGAAAGGTGTCAAAATTATACTTGCTACACAAAGCCTTCACCCACATGTTCTCAGGATTTCTCTTAACTCTCCAGATGAGTTTGGCCATAAGAGCCACATTTCTAAGCCTAGATCTTCTAAGATTCAAACCACCCTTTCGTTTAGCTTTAGTGACATTAACCCAATTAATGGAGTGAATCTTTCTTTTCTCCTCAGAGTCACCCCATAGAAAGTTCCTTTGGAGTCTATCTATCTCATCTAAAACAGGAGGAGGGAGGGCAGAGGCTTGCATAGGATAATCAACAATAGAGGAAGTAACAGATTGGATCAAAGTGCTTTTACCTGCTAAAGAAAGATTTTTGGCCTTCCAACCTGCTAACCTATTTCTGATTTTCTCAATTAAAGGACCAAAGTCAGCTTTTTTAGCTTTATTAACAAGAAGGGGATGTCCAAGATAAGTACCAAGATTATTGGTGCGAGAGAAACCTAACATATTGGTAATATCAAAGGCCAAAGAATCACTTACTTTAGGAGAAAACCACATTTTAGTTTTATCTTTATTAACTTTCTGACCTGACCTATGGCAAAAGTCATCCAAAATCCTAGAAATAGTCATACAATTGCCCATATTAGCTCTAGCAGCTAAAATGATATCATCAGCGAAAAGTGCATGGGAGAACTTAGGACCATTTCTACCAATCTGGATAGGATTCCAAGAATTATTGTCAACTTCATTCTCAATAAGAAGGGAAAGATATTCCATGCTTAGGAGGAAAAGATAAGGTGAAATAGGGTCACCTTGTCTTATTCCTCTTGAGGCATGGAATTCATCAGAAGAAGAACCATTAATGAGAATGGCTAAACTGGGATCAGAAATGCAAGACATGATAAGCTTTATAAGATTATTAGGAAAATTGAAGAACTTAAGCATGTCTCTTATGAAACCCCATTCAAGTCTATCAAAGGCCTTTTCTAAGTCAATCTTAATGAACATCCAACCCTCTTTAGAAGAGCTAACTCTAGCAGAATGAAGAGCTTCCTGAACTAAAATGATATTATCTGACGCTCTCCTACCACTAATAAAGGCTGCCTGAACAGGATTAATGATATCATTCATCAAACTTTTCATCCTAAGCGCAATAATCTTTGTGACAATCTTATAGCAGGTGTTAGCCAAGCTAATAGGTCGGAACAATTTAATGCAATCAGGAGAAACAGTTTTGGGAACAAGACAAATCAGAAAATGTTTCCAACTATCAGGCATGCAATTATTCTCAAAAACGGCCTTAATGGCCTGCACTAGACTATCTTTAATATCGTCCCAACACTTCTGAAAAAATCCTGCATGAAGGCCATCAGTTCCAGGGGCCTTAAAGGGTTTAAGGCTCCAAAGAGCATCCTTAATTTCCCTGATGGAAGGAATAGCAACTAATCTCCCATGAACCTGAGAATCAATTTTAACAATGCTAGGAGGTTCATAGTTAGCAACCAAATCATGACTAGGGAACTCAGTAGTATACAAGTTAGAGAAAAAATCAATAACATGTTTTTTACAATCATCATTATAGAGCCAGTTCCCCACATTATCTTTCAAAGCAACAATTCTATTGCACTTACGCCTAACTTTAGTGGTGAGATGGAAGAACTTGGTATTCTTATCACCATCTTTGAGCCAATCAATACGAGATTTCATGGCCCAAAGGGTTTCCTCTTGCCTTAAAATATCAATAAAATCAGTTTGAAGTTGCTTTTCAAGGTCAATAAGAAACTGAGAAGGATTATTAGCAAGAGCCAATTGAGCACCTTTAATTCTAGCAAGCAGTCTATTCTTTTTATGAAAAACATTACCAAACACATTTTTGTTCCATTCCTTGACAGCTTGTATGAAATCTAGAATTTTTGAATCAAAATTACCAACATTGCTATCCCAAACAGATTTTACAACATCAAAAAAGGAACTATCAGAGAACCACATAGGTTGAAACCTAAAAGGTTTTTCTTCAAAAACAGGATTAGAAGCATTTGTGGAAAAGAGAATAGGGCAATGATCAGAACAAATCCTAGGCAAATGAAACAAAGTGGACTCAGGAAAACTGTCTAGCCAAGCACTATTAATCCAGGCTCTATCAATTCTTTCAAGAATGAGTGTAGAAATGGGATTCTTATTAGACCACGTGAAACGAGGACCCACAAATCCAATATCAATCATATCGCAAGAAGAAAGAGCATCATTCAAAGAAGAAGAGTTTAAAGGATTAACAACACGACCACCATATTTATCAAGGGAGCAGAGAGTCTCATTAAAATCCCCAATCCAAATCCAATGAAGGTTCAAGTTAGCACCCAGACAAGCAAGATAATCCCAAAGCAAAAGTCTACTTTCTCTATCAGGGCTAGCATAAACAGCAGAAATAGCATAAGACTGGTTCAAAGACCTAACCTTTGCCAAAGCTGTAATCTCCTGCTGAGTTTTGCTATGAATGTGAACATCAAATTCGTCAGCATTCCACAGCAACCATATACCTCCAGAGAAGCCAATTGGGTCTATCCATTCCATGCCTGAAAAACCCAATGAATTTCTAATAGAAGCTCCTCTTTCACCTCCTATTCTGGTCTCGGTAATGATCACAAAATCAGGCCTGTGTCTCCAAATCAAATCCCTTATATTATTAGAGTAAAAACGGGGATTACCCACCTCTCTTGCATTATAACTCAATATTTTCATCAAAAATTGGCTGTTGATTCCCCATCGCCTGCAGCGAGCTAATCGTATCACGAACCTCATCTCTAAATAGAAGTTTTCTTCTATTTCTGGAGTTAGAACCTGAAGACTCATTACCCCGTCTTCTTGCTGTACGTAGAATCTTGCGAAGTCGCATAGCATGATGGCCAATCCTTTTGTTATTACTCCCGGACCTTAAATCTTCACAAGGTGTGATACTAGGCAAATCCTTGTTTGAGAGGGTGGAATCAATATCCCCATTTACATCATCTGCTTTTGAAGTTTTACCGCAACCTCCTCTTTCAACAAAATCAGCGTTTCCATCATCAACCACTGAACTATCCGCACACTGAAAAGAAACAAAATTCTGACCTTCTGCTCCAATTTTTGGGTTCTCACCACCAGAATTTGCACCACATCTATAAGCTCCAGATTCCTCCTCCGTAATATGCTGCCGTTCATGAGGTTTTTCAGACTTAAATTCCCCAGAAATTCCTTCCTTAATCTCACTATTAGCCTCAACATGGGATTTTTGCGAATGAGAGTAAGAAGGAATTTCAGATTCTGAAACATTTGGACAAGGCCCAATAAATTCTGCCACTTCTTCATTTTGAGTTCCCGTTGGGCCCTTGTCTAAAATAACCAAAGTGGGCTGGCCCACAGACTCCGGGTCACAACACCCATCACAAAGTTGCTTGGTTCCAGAAGGTCCCGCTTCTTTTGATTTTTCAAAATTTGATTTCGATTTCGGGCGCCAAATTTTGACTGGATGTCTGTCATTTTGACCTTGGCTCCTGTCAGACCACCCACGGTGATTGGCCTTGGTTCTGGATCTGCCCCGTGATCTTGATTTCGAATTCTTCCTGTTGTTAACCAACATCCAGGGTCCCAGTTCAGATTTCTCAACCTCCACTACCTTTGTATTGTCTTCTTTATTCTTCGCACAATCAGTATTTTTATGTCCCATGATTCCACAAGTAAAGCAGCAAGAGACATCTTCGTACTGCAATTCCTGAATCAGCCTACCAATTTTAATCTTGTTGATCAATGGCTTGTTGCAAGGAACTAGAACACAGAAGCGAGCAAATCTTCCTCTAGAGTTGTGGTTCGTATGATAGTCCACTTTTTGCAGAGACCCAAAACACTTCCCACTTTTGCCAAAATTTCTCTGTCAAAATATTCAATGGGGAGGTTGGGTAGCCTAACCCAAACAGGGATTCCGTCTTCATAAATATCATCTGCAGGTTTAAAATTAGCAACCCATTTTCTAACTTTAATACAGGTCGACCCAATAAACCAGGGACCATTTAAGAGAGCTCTGGAATATTCCTCTGGTCTTTCTATCCTCACAAGGTAGTTTCCTTTTTCAAGTTCAATCAATTGAAAATTGCCTTTAATGCTCCAAAGAATTTTCAACCTGTCATAAATAACCTTAAAAGGCAGAGACTTTCCTCTTAAATTCAAAAGCAGAGCATTTACCCATGGTGACCTAACTCTTCTTTTCTCTTCCTTGGAAAGATGAACGCAAGGAATAGAGCTCTGGTCATCTTCAAATTCATCATCAGAAACATCGTCAACTACCATTTGAACAGAAGATGAAAAAGGAGATCCCAACACATCCTTATAGGAAAGTTTGGCAGATGAGTTTCCATCTCTAGGAGAACAAAGAGATGGACCATCTTCTGCCACATAAAAGAACCCGGATTCAAAAGGATCTCTTGCTTGTAAAGAAGCAAGAAAATCAAGTTCAGCCATGATCTTAGGAAGAAAAGCAAAAAGTAGAAAAAAAGATGGAAGGAGGGGAAAGCGTAAGGAGAGAGGCGAGAGGGTTCATGGTTGACTAATATGGGCTTCTTTGAGTATGATGTTTTACTCGTTGAACAAAATTTCAACAATATGGAGTCTTCTATTCATCAATTGTTCATGTGAAATCTTTGGCCAGAAACAATCATATAAAATATAAAACGTTATATGCATGAATAATGAGATATTTTTCTCCCCTTCCTTCGAAGCATGAAAAATGAGTCTAACTACTCTTCTTTTATACAAAGAGAGCTTACACTCCCTTCTTTTAGTATATAAGAGGGAGTACTATTACTCCAATTTAAAATCTCTATTCATTCTCCTCCCGCCCCTAGCTACCCCACCCTACCCTTTATCACTCGAGTATATTCCTTTTTTTTTATTAAAAGTATTCTCAAACCCTTTGGATCTGAAACTAATCTTTCGAAAGATTCTAGTCCAGAGTATGCTCTCTTTTACACACACAAAAGAAGTATGCTCTCGAAGATCTTAATCTTTGAATTGTTTGATTTGAACCCAACTTTGTCCAAGCCGAGAAATGTAAATATGTGAGGCTTAAGTCTAACTTTTGGAGAAGAATTCACTAAAAAAAAAAAAAAAAAAACTTTTGGAGAAGAAAAAAACGTGGGCCTTATTGGGCTACTCTAGGAAAAAGAAATGTAAGAAACGATAAATAGTTTTGGGCCACCATGAAAAAAGAGGTAAATTTGATTTATGGTGCCGAAGCTTTTATTTTAGTTTCAATTTTGTCCCCAAATTGTGAAAATTATGTCCTTTTAATTTTTTGAAAAAAATAAAAATAAATTGATTCAAAATTTGGATTCATTCAAGGTCCAAGACGGAAGTAAAGTTGGGAGGAAATTTCGGCATAGACAGGGGAAGGAAGCAGTTATGTTAAGTTCCAAATGGTACACACAAAGTGAGAATGAATAAAATAAAAAGAAAAGCAATTAAATCTGATTTTCAACTCTATAAATTGTGATTCTATCAGTTGGTAAAAACAATATTCCTTATAGCAAATAAAGCCCAAAAATGAATGACGGAGATGTTTCAAGGCAAATTCAGCAGATGGTCAGATTCATCCGCCAAGAAGCAGAGGAGAAATCCAACGAGATTTCTGTCTCTGCTGAAGAGGTAATTAATTTCATTTCAAATCAATGAATTCATAAATAATGGGATTGCCGGATTGGAATCAAATCTTTTTCTTTTTTTTTTGTCAAAAATATATAGGAATTCAACATTGAGAAGCTGCAATTAGTTGAAGTTGAAAGGAAAAAGATCAAGCAAGAGTATGAGCGCAAGAGAAAGCAGGTGGAAGTTCGTAAGAAAATGTACGTACCCATTTACCCATGCAATTGCAATGCTTCCATTAATTAATCCATGTTTTTATAATGATTTTGCAGTGAATACTCGATGCAACTGAACGCTTCGCGAATCAAAGTTCTTCAAGCTCAAGATGATTTGGTGAATTCCATAAAAGAATCAGCCAGGAAGGCACTCCTTCGTCTCTCTTCTGACCAAAAGGGATACAAAAACCTCCTCAAACCTCTCATTGTCCAGGTTATTAATTACTCTTAATTCATTCATTTGCTAATCCTTGCCCCCTCAACTTTTTAAATTATGAGTATAGTTTGCCAATGGGGTTAGTCAAAGTGGTAGAAGGCACGTGGATTCGAGTTAGTAGGCGATTTTTAGTCTGAGAAATTTGCAAGTGAAAGTCTAATGGATCCGTAAATTCCCAAAGGAAACGACAGCTTGCCCGGGTCTTGGAGACGAGATAACCTACCCTTCTCCTACACTTTTTTTTTCACCAAAAATAAAAAGAAGTTATTTAGTCATGAATATGTGTCTCAAATTCTAGGGATTTAGGGGTACTTTGTCTTAAATTATAGTTAAGGGATAAAATATCCTCATTTAAAGAGTTCAAGGGACAAAAGTGCCCAATATATATTCAATATAAATGCAACTGTTTTAATTAATATAATAAATATTGGGCAGAGTTTGATAAGGCTGAGGGAGCCAGCAGTGTTGCTGAGATGCAGAGAGGCTGATCGTAAGGTGGTGGAGTCGGTTTTAGAGGAAGCAAAACGAGAGTATGTTGACAAAATCAAAGTGCAATCGCCCCCTAAAATTACTGTCGACAATGTCTACCTTCCTCCACCTCCTACTACTGCTGATTCCCATGAGACTTACTGGTAATTATATTATTAATTATTCATGTTTGTTAATTAATTTCCCCATTAGCAACCAAATTAAACTGATTAATTTGAAATTGCATGCCTTGTTCAAACAAAATAATGAAATGAAATGAAGCTCGGGAGGAGTTGTGTTGGCTTCGGAAGATGGAAAGATAGTGTTCGAGAATACTTTAGATGCACGCCTTGATGTTGCTTTCAGACAGAAACTGCCCGAGGTAAAGTTCATGATTAATTACTTAATTATTTTGTGCTACTTAATTCTCTCTATATACTACTACAAACTAATTATATGATGGGATTAGGCTCGATATAATTTGTTTACAAACTTTATAATTTGATGTTTTTGCAGATTCGAAGGCGTCTGGTGGGACAAGCTGGTCATTGAAATTGATTAACATTAACATAATTATAATAATTGGTATATCTATATGTCTCTTACTATTATGGTAAGACTTGCACAATGCTGTCAGATTCACATTTTAATTTCAGCCTTTATATATGTTTTTCAGATTCATGTCAATTTTGAGGATACGTTTTTCTCTATTAAATTACTACTAGTACTAGTATAATTTTTGAGAAAATTTTATTTAGCAGCTGCCTTTATGTTTACACACAAAACCAAACCCAAATCTCAGATTGTTGACACCTGTTGCCTGTTGGGCTGTTGGCAAGTCTAATTAGCAGTTTTCAACATTTATATATTACTAGGTAGACTGTCCGCGCTACACCGCAGGTCTTTTCATTCTCTTTTGGAATTAAGTTGATAATTTATCTTAAGATTTTAATATTGTGTAAGAAAGAGTAAATTGTAATCTTGTATGGACCAAAAACAAAGAATTTCGCCAGTGATTCATGAAAGTCGTAGATCATGAAATAACCTTTTAAAGTTGTAGATCATTGAATTACCGTAATCAGACAAATAGAAAAGAATAATTAAGTTGAACCTTTAAATCGATTAAGATAGAATCAGTAAAGGACTAAGTAGTATAAAATAGAAAAATGTGAGGGTCATTTGATAAATAATCCAAATAAGAAAATGTTTGTTGGTGGAGATCTTGAAACATAAAAATTTATTTTCGAGCCCTTCATGAAAGTCGTAAATCAAATTTAGCTTTCGCCCCCTCCATGAAAGTCGTAGATCATGCAATAATCTTTTAACCGAAACTTGAATAATTTTAATCGGACATGTAGATTAAAAATTATTTGGTATTAAATAGACTGATAATCGAAACCACAAAATTTTAAAAGTATTTTTTAGAATTGAAACATAAAAATTGACTTTTGACTTCTTCATGAAATTTGTAGATCATGAAATTATCTTTTAATAGACATCTAAATCACCTTAATAGGACAAATAAAAAAAATAAAGCTGAAACGTTAAATTAAGATAGAATTAGTAAAGGACTAAGTAGTATGAAGTAAAAAAATATGATGATCATTCGATAAATAATCCAAATAAGAAAATGTTTGTCGATGGAAATCTTGAAACATGAAAATTCTGTTTTGAGCCATTTATGAAACTCGTATATCAAATTTAGCTTTCGGGTCCTTCATGAAAGTCGTATATCATGCAATAAACTTTTAACCGGCACCTGAATAACTTTAACCGGACACACGGATTGAAAATTATATGATATTAAATAGACCGGCAATCAAAACCACTAAATTTCAGAAGCATTTTTTTGAATTGAAACATTAAAACTGGCTTTTGAGTCCTTCACGAAAGTTGTAGATCATGAGATTACCTTCTAATAGACACATGAATCACCTTAATCGGACAAACAGAACAAAAAATAAAGAAAATAAAGCTAAAGTGTTAAATAGATTTGTAAAGGACCAAGTAGCATAAAGTAGAAAAGTATGGGGATTATTTGATAAATAGTCTAAAAAAATTGTATGTTGGTGGAGATTGGGACCCACCATGAAGGGTAAATTTTTTACAAAATTCCCAAAATGGCCTTGACTATTTTCTTAATTAACAAAATAACCAAGCATGAATGACCTAAATACCCCTTAACATTTGGTCTTCACTTGATGAGAAGGGAGGGTTTGAATTTATTTTTTTGTAATTTCACTTCTTGTTGTTATGGTTCTTTATAATATTGATTCTATTTCGCTTCCTTACAGTCAATAATAATAACAACATTTTATATATTTTTTTAAAAATCTTCATTATTCATTCATTTGCCACTCAAAAAGAGGAAAAAAATGATAAATTTACTTTTCTCATATTGTAATCTCACTAATCTCCACTGAAAGTATGTACAAGATAATGATTGATAATGAAAAAAATGCCATATAGTTTTATGTCTATTTACAAAATTTTCCCTAAAAAAATTAATAAGTAAAAACAGAAGTAGCTAATCCTGTTTGGAATCGGAATCAGCTGGAAGCTTATTTGATGTAGTATCCAATTTTGTCAATAAGTCTCTGTAAAACTTTTTCTTCAACTCTCCGGCACGCTCTAATCCTACACCAAACATACTCTTCTTTTCTCCTTTCTTAATCACGAACCTAAATTATCATTATCATATCAATAAAAATACAAAAACACTAATTATATACTATCAATCATACAAAAACTTTATGATTTCTAAATCTCTTCCAAGTTCCAACCTCAACATATAATTACTGAAAAACAAATGCATGCTTACTGCCAAATAGACGCGTGCATGCAGTCTATCGAAAAAGTGTTATACCCTTAGTTTCAGTGATCAGGAGTCAACTCCAGGTTACTAAGTTCGGAGAAAATCA